GACGATGCCCAATAGGCTGAAACAGCTGTCTACCGGTGACTTAAATTGAAATCAATATGGGAATGATACCTATCTATTAATCTTTTGTTTTTCATGGAATTATTTTCCAGCAGATTGACTGCATTAACCTGTCTCGATTTCATATCATTTCTAGAAACATGTGGATTCGTTTTCCGATGGCATTCCAGATCAGCTTCCCAAATTTCTGCTACCGCAGTTGTCGGTTGATTGGTCAAACCACCAAAACTGATAAAAACTTGCCGAGTTGACTTGGATGTCACACCAATAGGTGGTACCACTTATTTCTGCCTCGCGTTCACGCAGTCACTTTTATGAAGTGCTATTCTTGGTTCTCCACATTTTGTCTTCAATCGAGGACCATCTGTCCGGTACTGACGATGCTCAATAGGCTGAAACAGCTGTCTACCGGTGGCTCTTACATTGAAATCAATGTGGGAATGATCAGACTAGTACTTACCTATTTATCTTTTGATTTTCATGGAATTAATTTCCACCAGCTTGACTGCATTAACCTTTCTCGATTTCATATCATTTCTAGAAACATGTGGATTTGTTGTGTATTCATCTGCTCAAGAGAAGATTAATACAACTAGTAAGTTGATTGAAGAAAAATCGAAATGAAAAGCGGCAGAAATTGTTGGGATCGATATGATGACTATCTGCTATCTGAAAATATTAAGCATGTCATTTCACTTTGTTAAGGAGTTTTGCGGTTCCGCTAAAAACGCACTGAGAAAATTGTTTTACAAATTTACTGAAGCAAATAAAATAGAAAATAGGTTATGAATATGAATAACCATTATTGATGGAATTGAAAATTTTTGTTTTGTTATTAATGACGAAGGTTTATTACATTAGAATAAACGTCATTAATCAACTAACAATTTTATTCTGGAAGTTATTCACTAGAAATTGTGTACATTTACCCCACCTGACTCTGCAAATGAATGTTTTTGTTACATTGATTCAACTGTTGCCATAATGACAAATTATGATAGAGAATATAAGTAGTAGTAAAGACACCACAAAGTTCAAATTCTAAAAATTAATGAAAAACATAATCTCCAATCATTTTATTGTCTCTGAATTTTCGAAAAAAATATATATATTTCCTTTAGGCTTACTCTTTGTTTGATGGCATGAGTGTAGTTACAATTATGAAATGTGTTGACTGGATTGGTGAACCAATAGCGGAAATTATAAATTATTATTTCACTGAAGGTCATTTTTCTTCAAAACTAAAAATAGTGGGAGTTCTTCCAATTCATAAAAAAGGTGATCCTACTCAACCTATCAATTTCAGATAAATATCGAATTTAACCCCCCCCATGGCGACGGCTCTGCACCTCAGTTCTATTTATTGATGATACAACAATCGGTGTAAAAGTTCTGAACCAAGCTGAATCCTAGTTTGAACGCAATGATCTGTTTCTTGTTGAGTGCAAAACTGTATTCTGGAACTCTATACTAATGTATGAACAACGATAGCAGACTATGGCACCGTCAAATTTCCCGGAGTGTGGATAGATATTCATTTGAGTTGGTCAAAACATATATATGTTTCATGCGGAAAATTAGCAATGACCGTTTTTGCTGTAAAAAATAAGAGATGCAGTTTTCTAATAAGCAGCCCTCACTACCTGTTACTGTGTGTTTCAACACGTCAGTTTAATTTTCAACTTAATAATCTAGTAACTATCACATGCTATATATAGCTTTCTACTTTAGGCAATCAATTCGAACAAGTCTCTAACTCCCAATTACATCAGAAAATTCATCAATGTTATAAATAGGGTTTGTACTCAAAATATTTTTTAACTTGAAAGTTCTTGCATATAATAATAGAAGTTATCAAAGCTTCACAATGCTTTTTGTGAACAAATGTTATTATTAAAACAGTTCGTATAAATTTTGTACCTGTTTTTGGATTGAAGTATATTTGTATATTTTACAACGTTGTAACTTAGGGTTAAAGAACTTGACCACCGATTGTTCGTTTATATTCGATTTATTGATTTCAAAAGTTAAATATTCTGTTTTTTGTTCGTTCAATATTAACTCGTTTGGTATAAACCAAGATTTTGCTTTATCTAAGATTATATTCAGGCTTTGTTGCGGGCAATTTATTTCATCAACTGTTTTCGCATCATTTCTGGATCAAATTCACTTGAAATTTCGTTCTTCAACTCCTCAATTATTTAATTTTTTTGTTGAATTCACTGTTTAATTTAGCGATTTCTTTGTTTAGATCTTTATTTTAGTTTTTTAACTTAGTAATTTCAGAGTTCAATCTCATTACTAATAGGGTGTCATTCCAATCTTTATACTGTTATATCATTAACTAGGGTGTTTCTGCAACAATCTTTCCGTTCAGCAGAGGCTGCATGATACTCTTTGTATACATATTGACACTATATTGAATAATAAATATCAAAAAGTTATTTTCTAACTGCGCCCAGATATTCACCCGATCAAAGTTTTCAGTAGAATCACATTTTGCAATCATCTCAAATGACAGTACCGAAAATTTGTTACCACTCTAGATTCGTGTTAGCGAAATGTGACCAAATACTTTGACGGGATGAATACCTGAAAAAACAACCCAAACCAATTTTAAAAAGAACTGCTGATACTGTATATATTTATTAAAAGATATTCATGACATTCTGTCTCAAACGGTTTTCTAAAGTCTAATGAGAGCAATGCATATTTCTTGCTTGGGTCCAAGTCGATTTGAAAGTTAACAACTTGTCCATTTGAATATACCAATTGGATTGTCGTTCATTACAGTGGTGAACTTCAATTAAACAAATGAACAAATATCTGACAATATATTTCATTGAGATATATTGTACAATATATAAAACAAAACAGTTTTCAATTGAAACATACGTATTTGAAATTATTAATTCAAATGTTTGGGAAAGAAAGGTTTTGTCTTTCTACTTCTCCATCTCTATATAGAAAATGAGGAAAACTTCCAAAGACAGAAAGAAATTAATTTCAAAATAAATTATTTACAAAAACGTGTAGATCATACAAAGTAGTAACTTTCAGACACAAATTGGAAGAAAAAGCCCTTTTGAAACAATTACTTTTATATGAACATTGAACTATACAAAAAACATTTTTCCCTTTCAGTTTGTACTCCAAACATTCGTTACAAAGTTGAATCAGATATCATTCCCAGGATTGTTACACAATATAGTTTATGAAAGAGGTAAAATTTCACTTACATGGAACACTGTCATTCCCAATGGCTAACACCCGATGATTCAGAATAAGACACTTTCTTTATTGCCTCTTCAGCACCAGATGAAATTATGAGATGAAGCACTCAATTCATTCATAAAATTACGACTTTATGTTTCAAACGAAAAGAAAAGGAAGGTTTTGGCTTTCTACTTCTCCATCTTGATACAAAAAACGTGGGAATCTTCCAAAGAAATGAAAGTAGTAATCAATTTAAAAAAAAGTAACTCTATATAAATATGTGAAGATTATGCAAATAAGTAACTTTCATACAAAAACTGAAAGAAAATGCTCTATCAAAACAACTACTTTCATATGCTTTCAGGTCCTTGAACGCTGTGTGAACAATGTAATAATCAGTTTTGTAGAAAGCTATGACCTGATAACACTTTCTCAGCACGGTTTTAGGAAAAATAAATCAACGAATTCAGCCACATACCATTTACTGAATTATGTTTACACTTAGATAAAGGAAAATATGTTGTGCCTCTTATGTTCGATTTCTCAAAAGCTTTTGACTGCCTAAACATAAAATTCATATTAGAAAAACTTAGTTCTCTGGTTGAAATGTTTTGAGTCTTATCTCTCCCACAGAATTTTTCTCATCGAAGTAGAACAACAACTATCGATTGAATGCACTGCTTCTCTTGGTGTTTTCCAAGGATCTGTCTTGGGACCCTAATTATTATTTTTTTTTTTTGTAAAAGATATTCCCAATCATATTACCGCGGGACAAGTAACAATGTTTGTCGATGACACAACAGTTACAGCCTGTGGATAAACCCTTGAAGAATTGCACAGTAATATAGAAAAAGCTCTCAATGAAATGAAACAATAGTGCCAACCTGCATACATTTCCATAGGAGAAAGCCAGTTACAACAACCTTCTATAAAAATCTAATATTTAGTGACAGGGACTGTTGAATTTATGCTATGCGTTATATTTGTTCTTTCGTGTAATTCAATATTTATATTAAAGTAGTTGTTTCAAGAGGGCTTTTTCTTCCAGTTTGTGTCTGAAAGTTACTTCTTTGTATGATCCGCATATCTTTGTTAAGTGTTTATTTTGAAGTCAATTACCTTCTTCCTGTCTGTGGAACATTCCTACATTTTTTTTTATAGATGAAGAAGTAGAAAACCAAAACTTTTCTTTTCCAAAAATTGATTTCTATTGAAAATATCATTTTTTCGAATTTAGGCGGATTCCTGTGGCTGGAATTAAATCAAATAAGCAAATGAATTTCATTACGTACTGTCATTGAGGGCATGAGTACATTCAACTCATTCAAGACATTAAGTCATAATTTCATGAATGAATTGAGTGATTCTTCTTGTAATATTATCCAGATTGGTGCTGAAACAACAATCTAAGTGTCTTACTCCAAAAAATCGAATGTTCGCCATTGAGATGATAGCGTTCTATGAAGGTGAAATTTTTGGTCTTTCATATAATATATTCTATATAAACTGGATCACAAACTGAAAGGGAAAAAGTATTTTTTGTATGATTCAATGTTCATATGAAAGTAGTTGTTTCGAAAATATTTCTTCTTTTGTGTAATTCAATGTTTATATGAAAATAGTTGTTTCGAGAGGGCTCTTTTTTCCAGTTTGTGTCTGAAAGTTACTTCTTTATTTTGAAATCAATTGCTTTCTTCGTGTCTTTGGAAGATGAAGAAGTAGAAAGTCAAAACCTTTCGTTCCCAAAAATGATTCTCTCCTTAAAATATACTCCTTTTAATTTTAATGTAAACTGGTTTTGTGACACCAATCATATGCATTCCTAAACATCCTTTCCCATGGACTCTTTCTGAATTGTTTCCAGCTCACTGGCATATAAGGCCATTGGAAAGGTTGAACACATCTTTCAGGATGAGGCATCATTGCCAAATGCCTTCCGTCACGAGAACATACTCCGGCTAAGCCTTCAATGCTTCCATTGGGATTCATTGGGTAAGCTTCTGTTGGTACATCATTATCATCGACATATCTCAAAGCGACAAGATTTTGTTGCTTCAGTTGCTTGTATATTTCCTCTCCACTGAATTCGAATCTTCCTTCACCATGTGCTACCCAAACTCCAAATGAAGATCCTTCCATGTCTTTGAGCATGATGGATTTGGATTTCTCGATTTTTACAGTACTGAACCTACATTCAAAACGTTCAGATCTGTTATTTGTTAAAGAAATGTCTGGTTTCATCTCTCCTGTTATAGGTGTTCCCACCCAACCAATAAGAGCCATCAACTGACATCCGTTGCACACACCCAAACTGAACGTGTCTGTTCTTCTATAAAATCTGGCGAATTGCTCTCGCACTTTTTCATTGTATAATAAATTTCCTGCCCAACCTTTTGCTGAGCCTAGAACATCTGAAACAATAAATTAACATTTCAATTAAGTTCATAACAATCCAAGAATGATTGAAATAAAGTGATCTGTTACCATACACCAAGAATTATATGATTTTTACTAGAATCATGAATAGGCCTTTTCATCATGTGACAAATGTAAGCCAGTCAATATGTGGTTTGAAAGTTTTGTACAGTTTTATCCAATAAATGCTGGTAAAGCAGTGTAATTTCCAAAAATCAATTAATGATTACAACAAATTATTAATGGTGCCATATTCCTCCATAGTTCAATCGAAACATATAATTATGAACAATCAAAAAGGTTGCTAAAGGGTCGTAGACATCCGTCAAACGGAAACAAAGTGAGCTAGTTGAGAGGTTAGTTATCAATATACCGTTATTATACAATTCGAAAATAAAGTGAGTAATCATTGAATAATTTTATCTTAATAAATTATGACTTGTGGTGACATGGTCTTCACTAGTAGAAACTCAAAATCAAAATAGTCGATTGGAAGATCCGAGTAAATCCGGACAAGACTCAGGCGATAACCATGGGAAGATTGCTATCTTCTCCGGCCAGAAAAGTGAGAATCTCTGGAAGGGAGATTGACTGGCAAGCACGGGTAAAGTACCTCGGCCTTCCAATAGACCGTAGGCTCACTTGGAACCCGCACATTTTGTGCGTCAAATCAAAGATCGAGGGTCGGATTGCAAGTCTGTACCCTCTGATCAACAGAAAATCTAAAATGAGCTTGAAGAACAAGACCATCATCTACAATACGATGTTCAAGCCTGTCATCATGTATGCTTCAGGCGTCTGGGGACAAGCGGCGAAATAAAACATCTCCATTCTGGAGGTATTGCAAAATAAGTTGATGAGGATGATTGTGAATTCTCCTTGGTTCGTGCGGAATGAAGCTATCCGCAGAGATTTGAAGCTGCCTTCCATTCGGCAGTCCATTCAGACGAGGAATCGGCGAGTTTTCGAAGGTGCGGAAACTCACAAAAATCCGTTAGTTAGGGAAGCTATAGATTATACTGTAGACAACCCCTCCCGATATAGAAGGCCCCGACACTTTGTCGAATGAGGCCCTCATGTCCCCCGTTAAAGAACGAACAGATTTTTCATCCATCCCACCCCAGCCAGGTAGGGGTACCCTGTGAAAGGCGGCACTGATGTTTGAGGACTTCATGCCGTCATCCCCTCAGTCATGAACTCATTTGTCCTTCTTCAACAAAAATCAGCCAAAAGGGTAAGGGAGCTGGGCTCCAACCTGAATGAAATCAAGACAACGTGCAGGTAAAATCAAAATAGAAATTGATCACCAACAAATCATATTGGTAATGAGTAATTAAAATTTTAAGGTTAAATTTAAAACCATATTTTCGAAAATATTGTTATTGTTCTAACAATTATGAACTTCCTTATTAATTAGTTGATATATTTTTTCCTAAAAACTGCAGGGAGCAAATATAAATATCTTTTGTAACATCAATCGATCGAAAACCACTATTACTTCAGCCACATTTTTTCACCAGTAACTCACATCTTCTGCATTTCGAATATGTTTCGATAAAACCTTTACTATATGATTTGATTATTCTTGATGATTTCCAATACAGAGTTTCGTAATGTTTATAAAATAGCGGGGATTTGTTTCAAATCATTTATAACGTGTATCACTCTAACTCCATAACTACATAGTTTTGTTGTTCTGTTTCAGATAGGTTATATTATAATGATCTTTTAGAGTTTTTTTCTTTTTCATCCAGGACATTTATTATTCGATTTTTTCGATAGTCTTCTCGGCGCGCGACTCTTTTCCTGAAGATGCGAACTTGGTTGAAGAAACGCGCGTCGAGAAGAATATACCGTTCTGACGATTGGGAAAAGTGCTTGTTTTTGATTTATTCCACTCCACAGGTTCCAGATCTACCTTTATTTATTTCTTAACTTGATCAAATGATATGTAATTCATTTAATATTTTTGCAAACTAAAAAAAACTGTGATGTGAGTATAACAAGTGAGTATAATGGCAATAAATAAAGATTGATATAAAACAATATACACTTCCAATTAGGTTTGCAACAATGGAAATAAGTACCATCCTCCCATAGACTCAAAACATAGTGCCAAAAATTAGTAATACAAAGAAATAAATTCACAATAGATACCTAAATAACATTAAATTTCACTGCAATTGTTGTACATTAAGTTTATTTCAGATAGTTATAAAGTTGTGAACATGACTGACAGAAACGTGAGTAGCCATGATAGTAGCTAACGCGGAAGAAGGGTCGTAGATATTCGTGAAACGGAAACAAAGTGAGCTAATTGAGAGGTTAGTTATCAATATACCCTTATTATACAATTCGAAAATAAAGTGAATAATTATTGAATAATTTTATCATAATAAATTATGACTTGTGGTGGCATGGTCTTCACTAGTAGAAACTCAAAATCAAAATAGGCGATTGGAAGATCCGAGTAAATCCGGACAAGACTCAGGCGATAACCATGGAAAGATTGCTATCTTCTCCGGCCAGAAAAGTGAGAATCTCTGGAAGAGAGATTGACTGGCAAGCACGGGTAAAGTACCTCGGCCTTCCAATAGACCGTAGGCTCACTTGGAACCCGCACATTATGTGCCTCAAATCAAAGATCAAAGGTCGGATTGCAAGTCTGTACCCTCTGATCAACAGAAAATCTAAAATGAGCTTGAAGAACAAGATCATCATCTACAATACGATGTTCAAGCCTGTCATCATGTATGCTTCAGGCGTCTGGGGACAAGCGGCGAAATATAAATCTCCATTCTGGAGGTATTGCAAAATAAGTTGATGAGGATGATTGTGAATGCTCCTTGGTTCGTGCGGAATGAAGCTATCCGCAGAGATTTGAAGCTGCCTTCCATTCGGCAGTCCATTCAGACGAGGAATCGGTGAGTTTTCGAAGGTGCGGAAACTCACGAAAATCCGTTAGTTAGGGAAGAAGCTGTAGATTATACTGTAGACGACCCCTCCCGTTAGAGGACGAACAGATTTTTCATCCATCCCACCCCAGCCAGGTAGGGGTACCCTGTGAAAGGGTAATCAAATTGGTAATGAGTAATTAAAATTTCAAGGTCAAAATTTAATATTTTTGCAAACTAAAAAAAAACTCTGACGTGAGTGTAACAAGTGAGTATAATGGCAATAAATAAAGATTGATATAAAACAATATACACTTTCAATTAGTTTTGTAACAATGGAAATAAGTACCATCCTCCCATAGACTCAAAACATAGTGCCAAAAATTAGTAATACAAAGAAATAAATTCACAGTAGATACCTAAATAACAGTAAATTTCACTGCAATTGTTGTACATTAAGTTTATTTCAGATAGTTATAAAGTTGTGAACATGACTGACAGAAACGTGAGTAGCCATGATAGTAGCTAACGCGGAAGTTATGAACATAGCCTATCCAGAACACGAACACACCTGAAATAATTGCAGTGTCTACCCAAAAAAAAAAAAAACTATATACGAAGTGAAACAATAAACCAGTTATTATAGACCACACCTAAGTCTACAAGATTCTTTTATATTCATAAATACAACCTGTCAATATGTTTAGGAGATCTATTCATACAATCAATATTTTCATAAATGTTATTTGATTGACTAACTAAGTTACCAACCAAACCCATCCTAGGAATCCTGCAGTAGAATTTTGTTATTCACCATCACTAAAAAGTTGTCCCACCTCAACTATTTGATCTGAATATCTGCTATTTCAACCTGTTAATATCTATTATTGAAGGGGATGTCCACAGGGAAGGGTCTTATCACCCCGTCTCTGGAACATAGTTCTGGATACCCTGGTTAATCACCTTAACAAAAATAGATTCTACACAATTGCATACGCAGATGACATAGTTATCTTGCAGACTGGCAAATTTGAAACACACTCTGCGATAGAGCGCAGGAGGGGCTCAAATTAATAGAAACCTGGGGTAAGGAACACTCACTGTCGATCAATCCCAAGAAGACTGAGATGGTCCTTTTCACCAGGAAAAGACGCTTAACGGGCTTAAAACCTCCCGAAATCTTCAAAAGCAAACTCAACTTCTCTGAAGAGGTAAAATGCCTTGGTACTATCCTCGACAGGAAGCTAACATGGAACTCTCATCTACAGAGTAGAGCAAAAAGAGCATACGTGGCTTATGAGCAATGTCGGAGGACAGTGGGACGCGCATGGGGTGTTTCATTCCGTGTGGTTACCTGAATCTACACTGCAATAATAAGACCTATGTACTGTTTGGAACCTTTGGAGTAGTAATGAATATTACTGGAGTATTTTTCCAACACCAAATCGTTATTTTTACACCTCGACACGTGTTTCGATCACCAAGTGATCATCTTCAAGAGGAAGATAAAACTAGGAACTACTCAAAACTAAAGCTATTTATGTTATTCAGGTATATCATACAGGTAGGTAATCAGTAATACCACCCATACAAGTGTACCACCCTAAATTAATTTTACAATTGGCCTTTCTATTATTTTACAATATGTCCTTATGTATGTTTGAATGTTACAGCTATATACANGCTGCCATTTCTCGGTCTCCATTTGTTCCTTCCTCTCTTATCACAGCTACAGAAAACAATCCACTTTCAATACCAGTGTCTTCATCAGGATCAAATGTCAGAACATATTTAGGACCTTTTCTATCGGAAAGAGAGAAAAATTCTGAATCAGCACAAGATTCTATTGTCTGTAGCAGCTCTAGTTTATAATTTGTTTCTTCCCACATCTTCATAAGAGGAAGTACTGTACTTTCCAGGCAATCATTATTAACTGTAATACCTATTTTCGATTTAATGCCATAACCAACACTTTTGCCTATTTTAAACACGGGTACATTATGGTTCTGGAAAAAAATTGAAAAAACACTGATTAGCTCTGAAAAATGTAGGAATATTTGCAATTAAAACCACTTGAGTAAGATTATGCTAAAATTATGAAGCCCTGCATTCAGAATAATAATTAGAGATCAACTTTTAATCGACCTTCTTTGGGAACAAAGTTGCTCGACATGTTTGGGTTCACAGTTGCTGTGAGAGGAGTATTCACCTTTCACCTTTGATCTGAATGATGAGTTTAATATTTTGGTCAGATACTCAGTTTATTGTTTAGCCAAGCGTGAACAATTGAAAACCATTAGTCAAAATATGGATCCTTAGCATATTAATAGTCTAAATTCTCGATTATATGAACTGGCCTAAGTTTAGATTTGATGAGTGAATGCAAAAAATTAGAAAAAAAAAACAAAACATACAGCATCAAATCATTCTAACTCTCAAAGGATATTACGTTTGGAGTGAGAGAAGGAGAAATCAAGTTATTAATTATTCAGGAAGTAACCAAGATGGATAGCATCATTTGTGGGAACTGCAAGAGGCAGGCTTATAACTTTAATGAGTTACAGGCTCATAACTTTAATGAGTTATGAGCCTGTAAGGATAAGAAAGGAAAAAATTTTTTCTGATGCAGAAAGCCAGATGTTACTAAATATCGATGTGAATGTGGCCGGCAGGGAAACAGTTCACAAGAACATCAGGTGGTCTGTATGGTATCTCGTCAATTCAACAGAACGTACAGCGCCATCTGCCCGCGAATAGATCAAGAAATATCAAGCGGGTTACGTACAGCGCCATCTGCCCACGAATAGATCAAGCAATAATGTCGATAATTTTGTCAATACAGATCCCGAGGTTGAGAGTTACAAACAAACATACATATAAACAAGCATACATACATACAAACAAGCATACATACATACATACAGGTGAAGCTAATATAAAGCATGTAAAAAAAGGATATGATACTACTGTTCCATTTTTCCTTAAGACTCATTTTATGATAGAATGAAATATAAGTGCCATAATGAACCTGTAATCATTCATTACATCCAACAAAAAACCCTGACCATTTCAATAGTATCCAAATGTAGTGAATAATCCCACAAAGAGTATTTGTGAGCACTACTGTCCTCTCAACCTACACACTCCAGCCCTGACTTAGTTCACACTTTTAAACAAATCAGCCATTAGAGTGAATCAAAAACCCTTTCAAATGTAATACTATGCTACTTCTAATGGAGAATGATAAATGTTCAGCTTGAGTTATCTTCTGAAATTCATCTGCCACTAACACATACATTATTGTCAAAAGAAACGACTTTTTACAAAATAGTGTTGATAGTTATAATATGAAAAATGTTTCCCTTTTGAGGGAATGATTGGAATGAAATTTACCTGCATAACTAAATCCGCCTGGGAAAATGACACCTCGAAAAGAGTCTAGACTAGCGGCACCAGTTATTAAATCTTGCATCGTAATGTCCCAAACTCTGAAACCTGCTCTTACAAATGCAGCTGCCATTTCTCGGTCTCCATTTGTTCCTTCCTCTCTTATCACAGCTACAGAAAACAATCCACTTTCAATACCGGTGTCTTCATCAGGATCAAATGTCAGAACATATTTAGGACCTTTCCTTTCAGAAAGAGAGAAAAATTCTGAATCAGCACAAGATTCTATTGTCTGTAGCAGCTCTAGTTTATAATTTGTTTCTTCCCACATCTTCATAAGAGGAAGTACTGTACTTTCCAGGCAAGCATTATTAACTGTAATACCTATTTTCGATTTAATGCCATAACCAANTAATTGTATTGAATAAAATTGATAGCCAATGGAATACTGCGGGGATGTGTTATAGGAGTATTACAAGTGATCGATACTGGTAACACTTCTTCCTTTAAACAGAGGTAATATCTTCTTTTTCCCTATATTTGAACTCCGTTATATGAGGAAGTGAACGAAGAGCTTGAATAGAATATTGTTGAACCGTCAAAGTCCGCCTCTTCTAGTACTATCTTTACGATGAAGAAACGTAATTGTGAATATAGGTTTTGTATAGGAACTTTCAGTTTCAGCTTCAGTTGTCCCGATTTTTCAATGTTTACTCTTTAATGTATTGCTTCTCAGGAAGATTGTGAACATGTTGACCATATGCAACACTAACCACACAAGAATCCAAATACTTCACCATTAGAATCAGAATGTTGTTAATTCATGGGATTTCGTGTGTTCACAGAAGACCTTAAGATTTGTAAGTTTTATAATTGGGCATAAATAATTGAAATGAATGAGTAAATAACATCAGCTTGCTTACCTTGAAAACATTCATACAGTGGGCCACATCTTTCTCTAAAATTTCCAGAACCCATCCAACTTCCTCAGAAAACAAAATATTGATGGGCTTTCCTTGTCTATGTTGAATGTTGATTTCCATCCCACACATACCAGCAAAACACATCTCTAATAAACAAACAATTACACCACCATCACTGACATCATGTCCTGATAAAACAGATCCATCCTTTATGAGCTCTTGAGTGGCTCTAAATGCATTTACCAATTCTTGAGCGCAATGAACATCTGCACTTTCTCTACCAAGTTGACCAAATACTTGGGCAAGTGCTGAGCCTCCCAATCTATTGTCACCATGTGACAAATCAATGTAAATCAAAATTCCTGTTTTTCCCATTGAGGGAGCTTTGAAGTCAGGAGTTACAATTTTTCTTATATCCGGACAAGGAGCATAAGTAGACACAACAAGAGTTCCAGGTGCCTTAACTGTTTCTTTCCCAACTCTAGCTGCCATACTGAGAGAGTCTTTACCTCCGTCTATAGCTATGCCTAATTCTGACATAAATTCGCACATAGCCTTACAAGCATCAAAAAGCAAGGAACCTTCTCCTGGTAATTTTGCTGCCCACATCCAATTACCACTGCATTTTACATCTCTTATATCAGAAATAGTAGCAAACACTAAGTTGGAGAGTGCTTCCGCAACAGTCATTCTAGCTCCTGCAGAGGTATTAACCAAGCCTTTGAGCGGCTGCTCGCCTATGGATGAAGCAATACCTTCCTGGAAAGAAAAAGTAAAATGTTTATCAAGTATTCCATTTCATATAAATATCATTCCCAATGGCACATTGAAGTATTATATTGCAATATGAATATTTTTTGTGTATGTGCAGACATTCCCCAGAACATAATGCCATATCTGATGTGACTCTGAATATAACCATTATATGCTAACATCGCAGCCTCAGTGAAAATATTTTGTGTAATTATTTTCAGGGCAAAGCAGTACCTTGACATTTGTATTGCCACTTTATCTATGTCGCTCTTCCAGTCCAGCTTTGAGTCAATTATAATTCCAAAAAAGGAAAGTTGGCTCACTGGTTCTAAAATAGTTATGCCATCACTAAAAGTATTATTTGTGCCGTTTTGGGTAAAAGATATGATTTGTGTCTTGTTTTTGTTCAGTTTGAGATTGTGTGATGTAAAGTACTCCTCCAGAATCTTTAGCTTGAAAAAGATATTTGCCTGTAGGTAGTTGTGATCGGTTGAACTGAAAACCACAGAACAGTTCATCAACAACTTCAGGCACATTGTTACTGTAAAGAATGTATAATACCGGGCCCAACACTGACCCCTGGGATATACCTCTCACAATATATAGCATTTCTGATTTCATTAGATTTCTATCAGTATCCCTTTAAGTAACACATTGCTGTCTATTTTTCGAATTGGACGTAATTAGTTCGAGTGGCAGCCCTCTGATACAGTAGATCGACAGTTTTGTGATCAGTAGTCTATGGTCAACACTGTCAAAAGCCTTGGACAAGTCCAGATTGATAGCTGTTGTAGCCTTTTTACTATTGATAGATTCAATTACCTTACATAGAGCTTGATAGTTAGCTCGAGTAGTAGATTTCTTTCTTCTAAATCCATTCTACATATCACTTAGAAGATTATTATTCTCTAGAGGGAGAAAGAATATGCTTTTATCAAAAGATGGGGGCTCTAAATACTTATTGCTCTTATTTACACTATTCAAAGCTGTGCAGTTATTAATGAAGTACTGATTCACCTCATTTAGAGCTTGTGTTTTATTAGTTTCATCTGGAGAAATGTTTTCCGATACTGACATAGATCTCTTAGTGTTCGAACCAGTAAAAGATTTGACCAGATTCCATACTGCCTTGGTCTTGGAATGATAGCCATGCAGGCTCTTCCGATTGAATATTTCAATTCCTCAATATTTTCAAAATTTGTTCTGATTACTTCATCTTTTATGAAGCCCCACAATGAAAAATCTAGAAGAGAACGTGTTGACCATTCGATAGGGCCATTATTTCCTATCCATCTTCCTGGCATAGTTGTATTGAGAAAATCTCTGCACATTCTCCTGCGATGTGGTGGAACCCCGTCGTGTTGGAAATACTCATATTTTCGGTACATATGTAGTAGATATGGTCGTATCCCTGAAGGAAGTATTCTTCAGGGATACTTCCTTTTTCTCAATTTTTTATTTTCCACAAATCCTAAATCAAATGAATGTCACTTTATCATTATTGTGATTTTTTTTTGATAATCAAAAAAAGACAATCATTGATCCAATAATGAAAAGTAACTTTATCAATGACTATTTCATAGATTCTTCTCAATAATGGTAGAATTATTGAAAACACTTTTAAGATGAAAGCTTTTTACTAATACCAGTGACACCCATAGAAGTAATCTTCATAATAAATGAGACAACAGCTAAACAGTCTGCTGGCATAGATGACGTAAATGGAAAAATTATCTGTAATCTGTCTGTACTCTTGTAGCAGAAATTATATAATATTTATTGAAGTAATCTTTCGCAGCTGTAACCTGTCTGTACTCTTAAATTGTATACATGTGTGTATATATTGTAACGAATTAAAGAATTAACTGTCTTAAGCAGATTCATTACAGTATGATGCCTTGTATAATCTTTGATTGATGAATACATTCTATTATTATTATTGAGGTTCCTCTTTGAAAACATGAAAATAAAAAACAATATATTTAGCTCCTTTATGCAGTCATATGAAATTTTTCTACTTATAGAAGATATCACAGAAGTCCTTGAATACTTTGCAGATATTCAAACAAAGCTTTCATCGATAAACTTCTCTTATTGAAAACAAGTTTCGTTTTCCACATCACACATTGAGACCTACTGAGGTTTCATTTTTCATACCTAGGAGCGATAATATTGTTGAAATGAGTGTTATCTTATTGAATAAATACATACAAGAACTCCCTGAAAGTTACGTTTTTCATTCACTAGGTATCCAATTTCTGAAATTATGGATAAAAGAATATCGTTTATAAAAACTCCTTTTTTCTAAATGAGTGTCATTATTTATTGATCGGATTATGATGAAATAGTATTCTAATGATTCTGAAACTTCAATTTCACGTAATTTTTCATAAATTATATTATATAGTTTTCAATAGCATTACTTACATATCCAAAGTGAGAAATTGCAGTAACCGCCACATCAGCTAGAGGTGTATGTAACGGACCAACACATTGTTGTTGAGCTATTAGTCCGGTTACACATCGGTCTACTTTGTTTGTGAGATATCTTTTGCTTCCCACTGAAGGTAGCCTTAATACTCGTTCAAGACACTGATATATCGATAAAGCTTCCGGAAATTTGAGGTCTTCATATACCATAACACTTCGTTCAAGATTGTATACTTTTTGTGGCATTTTACCTGAAACAGAATGAATATGAATAGGGAGAGTTCAAAACTAATCTTATTGCACAATGCTTACAAAAAATAGTTGGAAGGGTGAGATTAAGCAACTGCTTGCCATAAATTGTTTCACATACTAATATCTTACATGATTATGCATTGATAAACCCAAAAGTGACATGGAGACTGGTCTGCCATGCCAGGGAACTTTCGGACATGCATGAAAACATGAAGAGTACTTTGAAAAACACCTTACAACACCCAAAAAATATTCATTTATTTATTTATTCATTTTTCCATTAAATATGGAAAAATTCCTTTTAGAGGAAAATTATACAATAGAGACAAATTCAACCTAAGCTAACAATTCAATATGTCAAGTAGAAAGTAGGCTTGAAAAATTTAGAGAATGATTTTTGTCAATTGAGCAAAGCTAACTTCTATGGGTTCACCCTTAAAAGAATTCCCGAGCTGCATGAGTGGTGACATTGGGTTTGAATATCCATAATTAGTGACCTTACATTCCTCTAGAGTGAGTGGATTCAAAATAATTGTACACAGTAAGTACACAGACACTTAAAAATTGATTCTGGACCAAATCTTTTTTATTTACATGTACAGAATAATAAGGAAACCTTTATCTGAAGCATTTTCTAGAATCGATCTCACATAGGCAAGATATACTCATTTCAATGAGTTTATATTCAGGTCAATGGAATTCTTACAAATAAAACCCAGTAGTTGTAGAGACTTACTAATTATATAATTCATATGAGAAATAAAGGTCAGAGATTTATCAAAGATACACCCAGATCATGAGCTTCATTAATGCTACTTATTGAATTGATCAATACTTTATCCTCTAGGCTGGTTGAAAATCAACACTCTTTAGAAAAGGACTGTCTGAAAAAATTGTGAAGAACTGTTTGAAACTAGTAGAGATCATCTCAAGATTCAGTGGAGGAAAAAATAGTAAAACGGAAGCTCTGCAATACTCCAATCATATGTGTACATTAAACTTGCTTCAAAATCGGTTCCTGTATGCTTGGAGATAGAAACTGATGAAAATTCATCTTTTGAATGTTATATCACGGGAACAATTAGAAAATTGAACAGAATGTGCTATTTAATACGAAAATTTAATGATCTAGTTGACTTTGAAGTACTCAGAGTTTTCTACTTCAACCAAATACGGTCAACCCTATCTTATGGATTGATATTTTGGGGGACACCCTTAGCAATGAAGTTTTTCTTACAAAAACGTAATGTGAGGTGTATGTTGATAACTCATTCCTTGGAGCCTTGCAGACCTCTATAAAATAAAGGATATTACCACTTCATTATTTATATATATTTAGGTTGCTTAATTTTGTCAAAACCAATTTTGAGCTAGTTACAAGAAATATAGATAAGTATACTGAGAGTGATAGGACAATGCGCACTTTAAATAATCTGAGAATACCTCCACATGGATCTGGTTTATTTGAAAGAGGAGCCGAATATAAAGCAAAGTATATAATGCTTTAGCAGATCATCCTAGATCCATTGGGGGTGTCAGCTAATTCAAAGTTGGAGCCAAATACTTTTTACTGGGTAACTGTTTGTATTCAACTGAGGAATATCTCACTTTTAATTTCAATTCGCATGATATTGCAACTTTTTTGTTTTTCTTCTTGTTATCTGTTTTTATGTTTTGACTTGAGCCTCTAAGTGTAGTGTGTAATGTGNTCGTGCATTTGACACAATCAACCCTAGGTATCTACTAATAAAACTGGAATCTCTAGGCATCCGAGGTACAATTCAAAAATGGATCGAGCCATATATGTCCGGTAGATCTATTAAGGTGTAGGTTGAGAAGCAGTTCTCCGAAAATTTTGATGTAAAGATTGGCACACCCCAAGGTGGGGTTCTTGGGCCACTGCTATTTCTGCTGTATGTCAACGACCTTTCTAACAACATCAGTCAAGGACGTACTTTCGTATACGCAGATGACACAACAATCGTTGTTACAGCTGAAACTATCAATCAGGTACAGGCCAAAATAGATACTGTAATAAAAGAATTTACATACTGGTGTGAAGTAAATCACCTCATCAATAATGCAAAAAAAATGGTGTCCATTGAATTCACTAGTACCTTAAAGTGCAGTAATAAATTATCAATAAATGTTGGTAACACAGAAGTTCACAACTCAGAATCAACGAGATTCCTAGGCCTCGAACTAGACCAAAAACTTTCTTTCAATAGACAAGTTGATGCTCTGTGTAAAAAACTCAACAAGCTGTACTGTGCATTCTGGAGCACATTTGTTCAATTTTTTGCATGAAGACTTGAAACTCATCACCAATATGAAACATTACAAACTATCTTTGAAAAAATTTCTCATCCGCCATGCCTTTTATTCATTAGACGAGTATAAAAAACGTAGCGACTAGGCAGTTTTGTTTCAATGTGTTTATATTTAAATATTTTTTATTTTATTTTATTCTCATTATTCCTAATCAATTTGTAACGACTAGAATGTTTGTGATGTTTTTTTTCTTAATGTTCATATAATGAGAATTTTTCCCTCTTTATATACTGTGACTTATCTCATGTTGTAAACGTTGCCGAAAATTGAATTACCTGAATTTTCGGGAGAAATACGGCAGTGGGAAATATTTCATTCGCTCTTCAAGAGTATGATTCACGATAATGCATCTTTGACAGATTTAGACAAAATTCATTACTTAGTGGGAAGTTTACGAGGACCGGCCTCGGGAATTTGCGCAGGATTTTCTATCACCGGCGATAATTATAATATTTTGTACAAGGCTCTGACCGAAAAGTATGAAAATAAACGGATGTTAGCAGACAGTTATTTACAACAAATTTTTGATTTAAAACCGTTGCAAAGTGAATCGGCAAGAAATTTGGATGTATTTCTAGAAAGATTTGACGTAGCGGTCTCGGCATTGGAAAAATTGAATTTACCAGATTTGACAGACTTCATGTTGTTGTATCAGGCTTTAGCTAAGTTAGATCATAATTCTGTAAAGGTTTTTGAAATGAAACAAGAGAGTTCCAAAATTCTAACTTATGAAGATTTAACAAAATTCATACAAAATCAGGCAAAAATATTACGTCGGGATAAAACAACATCGGTGTCGAATAATAATAATAAGCCGATAAAGACAATCAAAACGTTTGTGGTAAATCAACGGAAAAAAGAAGGAATGACATGCGTTTTCTGTCAGAAAACAGGTCATTACTTGGGTAGATGTGATAAATTCAAGTCTTTGTCACCGGGACAAAGATATGAAGCGGTTAGGGACAATGGCTGGTGCTACAATTGTTTGTCAAACAAGCACACAGTAAAAAATTGTCCTAACGAGCGGTTGTGTGTGGAGTGTTCCAAAAAACATCACATTTTACTTCATTTGGGAAAACCAAATTCAGTTAGTGGATCGAATGAGGATTCGGCCTCAGGATCAAACATTGAGAGGAGGGAAACGGTTAGTAATGATACATCAACGGTTGATGTGCATTTATGTTCAGAACCTAATGCGGTTTATTTAAAGGATGATTCCAACTATACAACTTTGCTTGCGTCTATGGTTGTTTTCGTGGAAACAAGTTCAATTGCAGTTGCTATAGCTAGATTTATTTTAGATTCGGGTAGTGAAGCCAATTTACTGACAATCGGATGTTGTAAAAGGTTAGGCTTGAAGAATTCAAAAAATTATTCTTCGGTTTAAGGTTTGGGAGGTTCTATTCAGAAAGTTAAGGGAAGTACAATTTTTACAGTTGTTTCACGGTATAATCCACAAAAGAAATATACAGTTAGGGCTCTAGTGCTTGATAAAATCACTAACAAATTGCCAAAATTTAAAGTTGACATTAGCGCATTTCCCACTTTACAAAAGGTGGAATTAGCGTATAATTCCTGCGGAAATCGATAGGATTTTGGGAGTGGAAATGTTTGCTAATATATTGGAAGAGGGTCGGATTACAGGGGTATCGGGTTCTCCTGTAGCGGTGAAAACCACTTTAGGTTATGTTGTTATGGGACAATTTCCAATAGTACGGCGAAATCAGTCAGTATTTTTCTCAGTGCAGGAGGAAAATTCAATTGATCAACTTGTTCGTAAGTTTTGGGACCTTGAGGAAATACCTAAAGGTTTTGCTATGAATCCCGAAGATATAGAATGTGAAAATATATATACCAGTACCTTTAGTAAGGACTCATCGTGACGATTTACAGTGGCGTTACTGTTCAAATTTCCGCCGGAAGGAAGTTGGGGAAATTCGTGGAATAATGCACAAGTTCGGTTACTTTCTTTGGAAAAAAGACTTGAAAGGGATTCAAAGTTACGGATTGAATACAATAAAGTAATGCAGGATTTCATAGACCAAGGTCATATGGAATTAGTGGATATTGACCCTAACGAAGCGTCATCGTATTATATTGGTCATCATCCAGTGATTAAACCAAGTAGTACAAGCACTCCGGTGCGGATAGTGCTAGACGCTAGTACTCCTACAGATAATGTTTCTTTAAATGATATCTTATATCGGGGAGGCAAGTTGCAGGCAAATTTAGTTACTTTACTATTGAATTTTCGGTTGTTCAAGGTAGCATTGACAGCAGATGTTCGGCAGTTATATAGGCAGATCAATGTTATTGAGAATCATTGGCGTTATCAAAGGTTATTGTGGCGTTTTAGTCCAGATCGTCCAATTGACACTTACGAAATAAAAGTTGTAGCTTTTGGAATAAAATCGTCACCTGTTTTGGCTTTACGCACTATCAAACAATTAATTGAAGACAAAAGAGAAAAATTTCCACTGGCGGCGAAATTTGTGTCAAGAGATATCTATATGAATGATTTTTGCACAAGTATAAATTCGGAAAAGGAAGCTGCGCAATTATACAAGGAATCAGTTGATTTATTTCAAGCTGGTTGTTTTGACTTAACAAAATGGGCTACAAATTCAAAGGCACTATTGAATGACATTCCCATAGAAAAGCAGTTAGCAGGAAATGTATTTTTC